GGGTGGGTGGGCAGCCCGAGAGCGGCGAGGCCGATTCCCATGGTAAACTGTTTAGACTGTGATCCCTGTCACACAGCGGCATTTGGAGTCGATTTTTCTCGTCCCATCCTGACTTTCCGGACGGACTGAATGTTTGCAAGTATGAACCGAGAGCGCCGATGAACGAACACTTCGGTGAGTCATCATTCACGGTAAACCAATTGAACCGGCGGGCCATTCGAATACCTTCTGTCCTACGGGTATTGTGGCTATACACACACACACACACACACACACTGTCATGTCAACTGTGTCGTTCCGCAGTTGACATTCAACCGGAGTGCTCCCGTAGCTCATTTGCCAAACTCCACCCCACCCCACCCCAGTGTATCACTGTCCATAGGTGCTTTACTGAAATGTAACAACAATTAACTGTTCCATCAGTATAACGAAAGAAACCGCACCTGCTTGCAACAGAATCTTATTCCAAATCCCTGGCAATTTAGAAATTACTTAGTTTGGCTCATTCTGTGCATCTCATCATCACTGTGCATCACTGTCCACTCATCAGTGATTGTTTTTCTACCTACTTACTCACTGTTAGTCTACCCGGTCAACCGGGCTCCACGGGGGTGCTTGGTCCGCCAACGGTAACGCCAGTTCATCCAAGCTACACCCACCAAGGTCCCATACCACCTGGATCTGTCGGTCAGCAGCCACAGCAGAACCAAACAACTACAAATGGTATGACCCCAAATGCCACAACAGTCCAAATCCCCGTTCCCGATGCGACCACTCTCGGTGCGGATGCGTTTAACCCGTGTGCATTAAACATCTTGGGAAGCACGGCTTATGGTTCGATCACATGTCCAGCCGTAGCTGGTCCTCCTGCCGGCTGTGTGGATCTGGCTCCGGCGCTATCCGGCGCAAATCCAGTCCAGATGGGTTTGAATCCGCTCGGTCTGGCCGCTTCATATCCGAATCCGGTATCCGGTGCCTGTCTCCTGTCCGGTTTGCCTGTCCCATCTGCGACTGGACCGCCAACTGCATACAATCCCGCGGCTGCGATGCATCCGACCACGTCCCCAAGTGGCAGTTGGTGCCTTTTCGTGTCCAACCTGACTCCGGATACGGAAGAGGCTACATTGTGGCGTCTGTTTGGCCCGTTTGGAGCTGTACGTTCCGTGAAAGTCGTCCGGGACCCGGGCACTAATCGTTGCCGTGGTTTCGGTTTTGTCAATATGACTAACTATGCTGAGGCGGTGTTGGCCATTCATCATTTGAACGGGTTAGTTTGCCTCAGACGTGAGGAAATTTCGGTACTCCGTTGTTGCACTATTCATTCGCTTGTTTGAAATAGGACAATTTAACTTGGTTAATTTTCACGTGAATAGAGGGCCGGAAAGAAACGAAACGGTCCAATTTTTCCCCCTCGTAATCCTTGATAAGGTACACTTTCTGTCGACTAATCTTGCCCATCCTGATAATATTTATCTACGCATGTTCCCGTTTTTTTCCTCGATGCGCTGTTTCAACCGCAAAGTGCTTTTCAACATTTCGTTCCGGTTTCTCTTCCTGTGTGTGTGTGTGCGTGTGTGTGTGCGGGTACGTGCTTCCAACTGCATAGCATATGCTAAGCCGAATCAATTTTGGAAAGTGGAACGGGTTAACTGCACCGTTGGTCGACACCGGATTGGACCACAACTAATAGAGTTCGAAGCTGTGATAGAACAGCAGTGGGGATCGGTACTTGCTGATAATCAAGGCACAGGCCATTGAATCCCCACAGTCCCACGTCGGTATCCCATTCACGCAATGTATCAAAAAGTTAGTTTTTTTTAAAAAAACGGGTTTCCCATGCAGCGGAATTGTGAAACCACCGGAATCGAACACCGGGGGTATCAAAAGATGGCGGTGAGTTGCACATGAACGCTCGGATGACCAAAGGCGTCAGCAGTGTGGAAAGTGGGATCCACCTCTGAAGCACAGTCGACTAATTACCCTCCCCCCCCCCCC